CTCCTACCAGCACAGATGCCCATGATAAATATACTAGTAAACCAATTTAGTCATTAAAATGTGCAGAGGAAATTAGTAAGAAGAATACATCATATCTACATAAGACAGATTTGTAAAAAAAAAAAAAAAGGTCCTCTTAAACATTTAATGAAAAAGGGAAGATTCATATTGTTACTTTCTGCCTTTCTCAGATAAGAGAATTGAAGCTCCCAAGGATAAATAACTTTCCCAAGGTCTCTACTAGGAAATGGCAGAGCTGTGATTGGACCTTCATCCACATAGCTTCAGTAATCCTGCTTTTAACTCCTGTTCTATATGTGCCACTTTTTTTTAGTGAAGTAGTACACGCCACAGTCAAATCAGTAAGACCCATATAATGAAGAACCTTGAACACCAGACTATTTTTTAACTTAATTTTGAAAAAATCTAAAAGGATTTTATATGGGAACATAAAACGACATTTTAATATTTTTATCATGTATATGTATGTAGACAACATAAGATGCACATGTTATAGCGAAGCAGGGAGCTAAACCACCAAACCTAGTGTCTTGTGTTCTGATGAAATAAAATTTAAAGTCAGACACCAAAAGTCATACAAGAGAACTTAATTATAAGTGAAAGAGAAAGTAAGGTGAAAATAAAGTAAAAGCAAAGGGAGGTTCAAGCAAAGAGCACTCTCTAGTGGGCCATCTCTGAGCACAGAAAGGCAAAGGAAATAATGCTGTCTCCAAATTTATTACTGTTTGGTGTTTACCAGAAGAACTTGGGACCACCTTCTGTTCTCTTTGCCAATCACGTATTCAACTTCTCCTTCACGTTGGGTGGTAGAGTTTTTTAGCATAATTGGTTCTTTGCAGAACTGTCATAGTGGCCATCCTATTTAGTGGGGTGGGGGGGCTTCATCTACAAATTAACCCCATGTTAATGTGGGCACTGGGGTCAGTAGCTGCTCAGATGTTACCTTAGTGTGCCTGTGCTACTAAAGGAATCTTCCCTCCCAGACAAATGGAGACACCTATAGCCATAATGCCTAGCTTCACTTCAACATCAATAGTCCTTGTCAAGAGTTAGTCCCATTAATCCTTTGCTTTTGACATATTTTCTCATTAGCTCCTTTACTTCTGTTTATTTTCTACAAAGTAGCTACCATCCTTTGCTTTCTCATCTACTTTAAAGAAGACGCTAAAGTAATTGAAAGAACACTGTGACCTTGCCATGCATTTCACTGCTCATTGCTAGCTACCACCTAACACACATATAATAAAACAATTACTAAAGTGGGACAAATAACATGCATATCATCTCACATAGTTACCCATTTCTCGGTCTGTGGCAGGAGCAGATCTAATCTACTCGTAGCAAAGTCCTAAACATAGTACACTGACTATAGACCTCATGCTATACATTAAACCTCTACACCTATGTAATGACTGCCTTGTGTACTTTGTTTTACATCTCCCCATTTCAACCCACTGGTTACCAGGAGGGGTGTTTTTAAAAGCTTAGTTGTATAATGTATTAGAGATGGAGGAGGATGAAATGATGATGTAATTGGTGAGAGCCTGTGCTAAGATTGTGTGCTCTATGTTGGGTATGCATAAGATTGGGTCAAATAATTTTGAAATTTAGTTGTCAGAAAGGGAGTCAATTCTTAATATGAACAGAGGTTACAACTATGCTCTAAAAAATGAACTAGTCCAAGAATTTACACATATATTTTCTTGGCAGTATGTCCTTCTAAAGGATTTTCTGTCAGAATATGTTTTAACATTATTTCGTTTTTGATACCAATTCAACTACAGATTAAACAGTCTTCATTTAATCAAGGAGAATGTTCATTTTTCATTATTAAGTGTCATTTATTGTCTTCCATCTTGATTTTTCAAATGTTAAGCTAAATATGTAAAGGAATAAATATTTTCTATCTCTTTGGATGAACTTCATACTCAGAGATGAGCAAAAGGACATTCTAACCATATTCTGTCATCAAACCCGTTTAAAAACATTTTGTTTAAGGGAATGTACGAATTATATAGCTGAATAATCATTATCATTTTAGAAAGACTTCCTATTGGCTCATAAAGGATGGAAATATTCTCATAGTTTTCAAAGTGCAATTTCCAAAAAGCTCACATGTATGAATTTTATGCAAATATATAGTAGAAAAGTGTCAAAAAATTAACTTATTAAGGAAGGAACCAACAACTGTAAAGCTGGTCCAAAGGAGATATTATAGTTAGATAATGAAGACAGAATGCTGAGATAAAATTTTTACATATTATGAAATCAGGTGATATTATACATGAAAATAAAACCAAACATTTTGGGTCATCTTTCCTACTGCACAAAAACTATACATATTGCTCCCGAACAAAAACCCATTTGTAACTTATTCATTCAACAAAAGGTTGTTTGTTTCACAACTTAACATCATTCAATAAATAGTTTAAAAAATGTATTATTCTAGAGTGTTGGATAATTTCTGAGATGGATTGTTAGACAACACTCCACTGTATCATTGAAAGGACATGCAGTCTTTTATTTACCTTATTTTCAAGTTTCATATAATTTTTCTTAACACCCTCTACCTCTAGAAAAATACTTAGTATTTAGGCTAATACTATCAGCCCTTCCTATGAATTATTTCATAGTTTTTAAATGGATATCTCTGAACATAGGCCTTTTAATGAAATGGATTATTTCTTTGGGAAAAATTGTTAAGAGAAAAAGCTTGAATAAAAATTTGAATATTTTGAGGTTATTGCTATACTAGTCAATTTTTTTTCTAAAAAATGAAATGCCAATTTATACTTGTTATACAGAGTATAATATTCTGACCATTATAATGACAGAGATGAGCATAATCTTTTTCAAATTCAGCCAATCTGTTTGATTTAAAATAAAATCTAATTTCAATTTAATTATATAGTATGATCACTGGTGAAATGTGACTTTTTAAAGCATGGTTTTATTATTTTCTTTTGAAATTGTTGCTTGGTTACTTTTCTGTTTAGGAATTAGTGTCCATGTTTTCCATTTCTTTCTGACTTTAATATCTGAAGGACAATAACCCTTTGTATTTTTCCTCTGCTTTATTGAGGCATAATATGTACAATAAAGAGTACATAAATTTAACGTGTATAAACTCCTCTGTATTTAACTCTTAAACATCAAAGAGCTGGTCACGAAAAGAATTAATAGGATATTTTATGCAAGGGATAACAACACCCTAAATGAACCTCATTTGTGATAAGTTGAAACTCAACCTAAGATTATGCTAATAAAGATGTAATGCTGTTTCCTCTTTCTACATTAAAACTCTTTTATTGAAAAATGCAACACACATACATACGTAAATGCATTAATTAGGGTGGAGAACAGAAACCAGGGAAACATAAGGATATTTGCAAATGTAAAATTCTTTGCAAACTAGTGACTGCAACACTTATATTCATAAGTAAATAGTATAGCTTTAGGGGATTATATTTTGAACAACTTAAGAGTAGCTGGGCAAACTTCCACAATAGCTTAAGTCATTTTTTTTGTAATGTGCTAGCAGAATTAAATATAGAATTGAAACAACAGTATAGCCAGGATTACGTGGTGTTTTTTTTGCACATAAAGAGTATTATACATATGTATATATGTGTACATACACATGTATATGACATGTAAAATGCCTATGTTTGCTTAACATGCTCATATATATAAGCATAAAATATGTGATTGCTATTTCTATTATTGTAAAGGTTTTCTCTGGTACCATTGACTATAGGTCATCTTAAAGTATGTATGTATACTTATTCTGCTGGGAATATAAAAACATAACTGAATTACAACATTCGCTATTATAATTTCTTTTACTCAGAACTACTACTTTTATTATGAAAAAAATATATATTTTTTTCTGAGCACAGTAGACTCCTGCTTGAATCAGTGGGTAGTAAGAACTATAAACTGTTTTGAGATCACATTTCGTTTCTGTTATTGGGGATAGTGGTGGGGAGGGCTCCCAAACAAAGTGTGAGCCATTTATGTGCTTTGCATGATCTGAGAGCCTCACCAGCCTGAAGAGTGATGCAAAGGATCCCAGTCCCTGGGTTTCCACCCCTCCCTTCCTCACCGTCAGCTCCAGAAGCCCTTGATCAGAAGCGTGGCCAGGCTGGGAGAGCAGGTGGGGGGCGGGGGCGGAGAACTAGAAGAAAAGTCCTGGGAAAACTCTCCAGGGCTTGCGGTAGACAAGGCTTTCCCACGGCATCGCTGTCCAGGGCTCCCGGCCCGCTCTGCGCGGGGCCTCTGGCACCCAGGGCTGGCCGGTTCTGCGCTGGCTTCCCATGGGTTCGAGCGCCTAAGAACCAGGGGAAGCCCGTGCTCCTCCACCTGCACTGCCTACTTGAGTTCCTTGAAGTTCTCTCTCACTTTTTCCATTTGAGAAACACGAATAGTTCGCTTTTCCGCAAACTCCCAGGAACCTAAAACTAAAAGCCCATTAAATGCCAAAATGAGGCAGCGGTTGATGTAATGCCCAGTCAGACAGAACCCTCCAGAGAGGGTCTGTGGCCGTGCTAAGACCAGTCAGCCCTGTGCCCTTTGGTTTATCAGCCTTTGGAAGATGAACTAGAGGGAAGTGGAGTTGAAGGAACTCCTGTGATCTTGAACTCAGGAGCTAAAAATCCCAAGTGGCCTGTAAGTCCACTGTGATCCATTCGCCAGCTCCACTGCACTTTAACTTGCTTTACTGGCACCAGGGCAGGGGATTTTTGCATCGAGTGGATAGGCAAAGACGTTTTTTGGCCCTCACCCCTGCTTGCCTCTATCAGATTACATTTCACAGACGGAAGCTGGCTGGGAGGTGGGAGCATTTACTTTTAAATCTTTTATGTGTGTTCACCTTGTGTGGTTGGGTGTGGAAAGCGGGGGGAAGGGTGTTTCCAAATCGAGTGAAATTCCCGTTCCATGGGTATTACCATGCCTGTGGGGTTGGCAGTTCTTAAAGTTTAGCTAGTCTGCAAATAACTACAGAACACAATAGAATTCCCCTCCCTTCCCCTCTTCTCTCTCCTCTCTTTTCCTGCTTCCAAACGCCTTCTTGAGGCTGGAGCTGGGCAGGTCTCCAGAGGTGCAGCAGCCACAACAATCCCGCAGTTCAAAGTTAAGCAGCAGTTGCACAACTTCCAGCAACTCTCTCAGCCGACTACTAATGAGCTGAAAGCCAGGAACTTCTGAGGAGGTGAAGAGGAAGCTTCCAGACCTCCTCCCTTCACCCTAGAAACCCAGATACTCCCACCCCAGCCCCAGATCACTGAGATTCACTTATTGTTTTTCCCTTGCCGGGCACACCATGGCTCCCTTTGGAAGAAACTTGCTAAAAACTCGGCATAAAAACAGGTAAAGTCGTGTGTGTGTGTGTGTGTGTGTGTGTGTTTGGTTGCATTTACTTTCTGATTAAAAAAAAAGAAAGAAAAAGAAAAAACAAAACTGCTTTTGTAGCACAAAGCCCTTGAGTCTTAGATCTAGTATAATACCTATCTTGTAAGGATATTTTTCCAGTATGGATGATTGCAGTGATCAGCATAAAACTAATGAGTGAGTGTTTTTGACTCCCTTTTTTCCGTTTTGGTATTTTGATTCCCCAAATAACTTCAATATTTTCTCTGGGCTGCCCTGAACATTTGAGGGTAATAGAATGACAAGTTTCATTTGGCTTGAACTGTAGAATATTGTAGAAAGGGTTAAAGTTTTAAGATAGAACTAGAATTCATAGCCACTTATTAGAATGAGAAACACTGCTGCTGATATAAATCCTGAAACAAAGCTTTAGTTCCCCCTGGGAGAGGGACATTCTTGAAGCCTGGAAAGTTCCCAAGTGAAAATACTCTATAGAGAAACTTTTCTTTTTGTGAACTGATTCTCTTGAAAATCTTCAAAAAGTTTAGGTGGTATTAGGCACTAAAAAAGGCTTCCAGCACTTGTTTTCCTTAGTCCTTAGTATTACTATTTTACTTTGATTTAATTTGATATTTCAAGCCTGCAGTACCCATGATATAAATACGTACATAAAACAAGTGTTAGCGTGGACACACACACACACACACACACTTTTCTTGGGTCAGTATGTACATTTAGGTCCTATTAAACAGTTTAATTATGAATCAAATACTACATTTTTATGCCAAAAAAAGTGAGGAGAAATTTAGAGATGGGCTTTATTTTTTAATATATTTGTTTTGGCACAGGGGCTTTGCTGATATGCTTCTCTCAACCATGCCTGACTGTACTTGTCATAATTTGCTTAGTGTAAATTTAAAAGGATACAATTACATGGTAGGAAATGATATAATTATTTTAAAGTGAGTATCTGCATGACAATATAGTGATGCACTTTAAAATAAATCTTCATATTTTATTTTGTACACAATTTATTTAAAAATTCTGTTTCTCTTTCCAAATATATTAATCACTTGATTATTTAAATTTCCTTAAAAACTCAAATAGCCGTAGTAAATACTGTAAAACTTTCTTAACCAGTTTTATTTGATATAACACAATTGTATAAATGTTATTTATGAAATAAGAATGCTTTGTTATATATTTTATAATAAAGTAGTTTGGGTATTTTTTAAAAATTAATAGTGGTTATGAAAACATAGTTTGTTTTTTAATGGTGACAGTGTATTAAAAAATATTCCAGAAGAGCCACAACCAAAATATTATTTTAGGTGATTTTTCTGTAGTGTTGTTATTGTACAATTATTTTCGCATCTGTTTAAATGCCATCAAGATATGTAAATAGTTACTTTGAAAAAGTGTATTGTTTTATAAAACAAATTCTGTTTCTGGAAAATTGTGTGTACAGAATTTTGTTTGAGTTTTTTTTTTGTAAAGCAATTTAAGAATTGTCATTGGTATGCCAGATAACAATGTGATAAATTCATGCTCCCCAGTGACTTTCCCTTAGAAAAAGTACATGCTCCACTTTCATCACATTAGTGTAGCCACCCACCAGCTATTCATTCTACCCATAAAACTAGCTATCATTAAAGGAGGTGAGTACTCATTTTTTTTAACTGACATTTTCTATGTAAAATTATGAAAAGGTAGACAGAATATGTTTCTCTGAGAAAACAGAAGGTGATGTTTTATAACAAATGCAAGTGTTTTGGCAAAAGTGGTTAGTAATATTGTGGATATTCTTCAACTGTTCTGATAAGTGCTAGCACCCTTTGTAGATTTGTACTTTTTTAACTAGTGAGAAAAAATACAAACCACAGCAATGGCCAAGAACATAAATATATGAGTATTTCAACTTAAGTAACAAACGATTCTTATGGTATATTGAAATGGAAGTAGTATATTTAGTGTTGTTATATATGAAGTCTTTTTTTTTTTCGTCTTCTCAAAGTTGAACTATAGACCAAAATTAGTTACATGGTTCAGTTTATCCATTTCGATTACCAATTCCATGATAATTGAGTAAGCCTACTTCAATATAGAGAACCAAACATTTTTTTTTCTAAATGATGAGTTATATACACTTTTATCAAAAGTGTAACTGATGATAAAATAGTTATTTGATAAGTGCTAATGCATTCCATTATATATAATTTGTTGTAAGACACCAAGAAGATTTTGAGTAATGTATTTGTACTCTTGTGATATGTAACTTGACGAAAAGAACACTTTATATTTTATATTTTGTATTTATCAGCAGGAAAAATACACATTGATAAAAGGAACATTAGGAATTTGAGATTATAGCATTTTGTTTACTGAATTTTTTTGCTTGTCTTTTTATTTTGTTCACTCTTAGAGTAATATTTAATTCCTCAAGATTCAACATGAACTATAACTATCTTCTTATGAGGTAGTTCTATAATTTTTCACATAATAAATGGATATTTGAGAGTTTTAGAGACAAACAAGATGGAAATAAAACTTTGAAGGAAATGGTATGAAAACTCTTAGAAAACACAAACTAAAAAGCTTGCAGACATATGGGTCCATATCTGTCTAGACAAACCTATGTTTTCCTGCCTAAGACAGTGACTGCATGTGGAGAACCTGTAATACAGTTGTTTATTTAATTTTGTAAATGAAAATTATAATTTGTATTCAAACTAGAACATAGTAATTATTTTATTGCTTATTCATCATGTGATACAAGCTGGCATTATATAAAACTGACTGTTTTTGAAGGATTGATTGACTCTTGCTATAATCTAAAATATAAAAAGATAGTCTAATAATTAAATGAATTTGGACATGCAGTGAATCTTACCTTACCAGATAATTTATTATAAATTTAATAAGCATTTAATTTAAAACTAGAGAAAATAATCTTCAGGTGACTAATTTTGGATCCCCAAATATGTTGAAAATAATATACGGTCCCAAAGTAATTCTATTTGGGCATATAAACTTTTTAGGCTTTTTTATTTCAAACTTTCATATACATAAAAGACATGGAGCCAACCTAAAAGTTTTTATGTTGATAATCAGAACTAATTTCTTAATATTTTATAATTGTAGTAATGTTTAATTGAAAGCATACAGTTTTAAGAGGGTCTCTTGGTGTTAGGAGATAGATTGTTTACTACGGTTCTGGAATAATAAAATATTCTGGCACTGAAATCTGAACAGTTTGGTATATACCAGTATATTTCAGTCTTTTGTTCAACAAGAAGAATAAAAATGGTGGAAACCTAGATATCATTTTCAACAAAGTATTCAAGTTTCTGAAATTGTATTGTATGTCACCAAACAGCCATTGTTTCCTGCCTGAAAGTCAAAGAAGTAAATAATGAAGCACAGATTAATTTGATAGTTGACTTTCATGTGAACATTCAGTAATTGAATTGATTATTAACCTATTTAGCTATTTAAACAGATTCCATTTGCAAATGTGATTGTCTTTATGTTAGATTATATTTTCAAGTTAGCAATTCCCTCACTACTTAACTTCAAGGTTGGATCCATAATTTCAATTGCAATCACAAACTTTTCCTAAAGTTAAGAAAACTAATGTAACCATAAAACTTTTTGGAGCACTTGGTGATGAGACATGATTCCTTTGTCTTCACTAATATGGCTGGGTGCGGGGGGGGGGGGGGCACAGAAAATTGGTTAGAACTTCTGTCAATCTTTGTTAGAAAGAGGAAATTATGGTAGTGAAACAATGTCTCATGTTTTTGTCGGAGATTTGAAATTAATTCATGTAGGTGATTTAGCATGATAAAATATTACTGACTACAAAAATATTTAATCTGGTTTAAAAAGGCCTCCATAATAAATTTTAAGTACTATTTCAGCTTCTCTAGGTTTTTGCTTTACTAACCTCATGCCTTTCCTTGGCTTCTCCTTAACATTAGGATGTGTCTATCATTGGCTATACCAGATGTTCTCATAATTTCAACCCCAAATTAAAAGCCCCCCCCCCAACTGTACTTGTAATCATTTCATTTGAAATAAGTATTACAGTTGCATTGTTTTATAATTAGTGAATAAAGTTTTCATTAATATTTGCTTTGGACTCTATTTGAACATATGTGGCCAGGTTCCCCCCCCCCCCTTAATCCAGGTACATTATAATGTCACCATAAATAAATCATGTAATGACTGCTTCATCAGAAGTAAGAATTAACTTTTGCAGTTAGGATAAATGTTTTGGCAAGAAGCATTTCTTCTCTCTGTAATTAGAAGTATGATAATTTATGAATTCCACAAAAAAGAAATGATCATGTACTATTTCATATATGCTTCAAATAAAGATTTAAAGTGTTCCCAAAACTGGATTGAGAAATGCCAGATATTTTAGTATGTAAAGATTCATATGTCTCTGAACTTCTTGAAAGATATTTCCCCTGATGATACCTAGTGATTTATGTCGTTATTAGTTGGCAGCAGATAAACCCATTGTGAATGATGACTGGAATGCTTTATCCCTAGCAAAATTATTTTAAAAACATTGGCAGGGATGAGATTGAGCTCCAGATTAAAACTTGACTTGCACTTAAAAATACCTAAGCCAGATGAAAATCTATTATATAAGATGTTTGTTGTATTATGTGCCATATCCATGCATAACACTTGTCAAGGAAAGAAGTTCTTAGGTGGATTTTTTGGAAACAAGTTTCAAAAAGTTTGTAGCTGGTTGACAATATAATTTAGGAAATGTTTTGTAACTTAGAAAGTTTTGATGTTGTTTGATTGCTATGCAGGTCTCTCTCTCTCTCTCTCTCTCTCTCTCTCTCTCTCTCTCTCTTTAGTTCTGAAAATAAGAGAAGTTGAAATAGGGGTATGTGTCTATCTCGTTCAGGTATTTATGGATACCAGGATATCTGAGCAATTTATATGTCAAAGGGAAAAGTTTCACACACTTGCATATTATA